CCGCGAGCTGCTGCAGCTCGACTTCCTCGCCGCCTTCCTGGGCATCCCCGTCCTCAGCCTGCCGGACCTGGAGCGGCCCGCGCCCGCGCCGCCTCGGGTAAGGGGCCGGCCTGCGCGGGACCCCCCGTGCCAGCCCCGGGGATGGGGGGGTGGAGGGCACCCCCTGTGCCAACCCCAGGGATGGGCAGGGAGAGTGGAGGAGGGACCCCTGTGCCAACCCCAGGGCGGGGGGAATGGAGGAGGGACCCCTGTGCCAACCCCAGGGATGGGGGAGTGGAGGGGGGACCCCTGTGCCAACCCTGGGGATGGGCGGGGGGAGTGGAGGAGGGACCCCGGGCCCCCTGCGCCCCGCCTGGGGATGGGCGGGGGGAGTGGAGGAGGGACCCCTGTGCCAACCCCGGGGATGGGCAGGGGGAGTGGAGGAGGGACCCCTGTGCCAACCCCGGGGATGGGCAGGGGGAGTGGAGGAGGGACCCCTGTGCCAACCCTGGGACGGGGCAGGTGGAGAGGACCCCCTTGTGCCACCCCTGGGGATGGGGGAGTGGAGGGGACCCCCCTTGTGCCACCCCGAGGGGCTGTGGTGGCTCAGCAGGTGCGGGGAAGAGTTGGCTGGTCCCAGCAGAGCTCAGCTGTGACCCACAGGTGTCCTTGGGGGGTCGGTGTGCAGCCAGGAGTCCCCCTGCCCTGCCCTGCCCTGCCCTGCGCCCCCTGGAAGGCTGGATGGGGGGAGAGGCTCCGGGTGCGGGTGATGGTGCCGCCCCCGGGCTGTGCGGGAGCTGCTGGAAGGCAAGGAGCGGGGGCCCGATCCTGGCCAAGGCAGCGTGGAGGAGCCGGGCGCGAGGAGCACAGTCAGCGATGCAGTGGGAGGTCTAACCCCCCCGCCGCTGCCCCCCGAATCCTGAGGGGATCGGGGCCTCTGGCTTTCCCAGGAGACCCACACCCACCCCCCAGTGCGGCTGCGCAGGGCCCAGGCTGTCTCCCGTGCCGGGTGCCTCTTGCTCCTTCCCACCCCAGAGGTGGCTGCATCTCTGCAGCTGGTGGAGCCCTTGGGTGCTCTGCATAGCTCCGCGTGCCTGGCAGCTGGGGCAGGCAGTGCCAGGGTCTCGCTGCCCTTGCTGGCTTGGGGGTGAGGGGCCGGGGAGCGTGCCTGGTGCAGCTGATCAGCCCCTCTGCGCTTTCCAACCGGAGGCTTTTGCCGGGCACCCGGCTGCTGGGGCGGGCAAGTGCATGGCGGCAGCCAAGAGGAGGCTGCTCCGTGCGGCAGGGAGCTGGGGGTGGCACGGCGCAGACAGCCGTGTTTGGGATGCTTGCGCTGGAGGATGCTCCGAGGCTGCTCCCCCAAACAGCCCCACGGGTCTCCCTGGGCTGCAGCCATCTGAAATCAAAGCCATGATTCAAAGCGGGGGGGAGGTCAGCTTGAGATGCTTTCAGAAAGCGTCATGTCCCCAAAGACCCCCCCCGTCCGCCTCGGGGAATGCAGTCCCTTTCCCATCAGCCAAACTCCAGGGAAATCGTGGCCTGGGTCTCCCCAAGGCCTGGCCTGGCCGGTGGGGAGGGCAAGGGGCTGCTGGAGACCCATCCGGGGGGCTTGGATCTGGAGGCGAGGCCGAGTGGGGCTTTCAGGCTCCAAATCTAGTGCCCCATGCACGTGCCCCCCAGAATTGCAGAGCAGCTGCCTTCGGGGTCCGGGAGAAAAGTGCGGGTGAAGGGCAGGGCCTGGGTCTCGCGGGGAAACAGGCCAGAAAGAGACCCCCCAACTCCCCTGCGCTGCCAAAGCCTCGTTGCGAGGCCTGGGCCAACTTCCACGCTCGCCCTGCTGCCCGCCCACGCACCCGCTGTTCTCTCGCTTTTATGATGCTGAATTATTGATGGCGTGGACACGGCTCCCGAGCCCGGCGGGTGGGGGGGACGGGGGCTTGTCACCGGCGCTGCGAAGCCGGCGGCGTTTGCTGCTTTCCCTGGGAATTTGCAGCCTCTGCCGGCAGCCCCCGGTGTGGGGTTTGGGTAAGAGCTGGGTCCTCGGTGTGGCCGTCGAGTATCGGGGACAGCGGCCTGCCGGGAAGGGCCCGCACAGGGCTGGGAGAGGGGCAGGCAGGGGCAAAGCTTGCCGTCCCGACAGATGCAATGGACGCAAGGCAGGAGGGGAAACTGAGGCACGGAGAAACTCCGTGGCGTGGGTTCCCTGGCAGGTCGGTCGTAGAGCTTGGAACAGACCCCAGGAGTCCGGGCGCCTGGCCGGTAGCCCGTATTGCTGCAGAGCCCCGTGCCTTGTGAGAGCGCAAGGGCAGCGGGGGCCACAGCCTCCCTCCAGATATTCACACCCCCCCATCCTCTCCTGTCTGGCTTCTCGCTTCCCAGCATCCCGGGCCGAGGAGGCCTTCTGCCGGCCACTCGCCTCCCAGCCTCGTGCATCCCGCAGGGGTGGGCAATGTGGGGGCCGGGGGGCTCGGGGACTAGAGGGTCCTGCGGACAGACAGGCTCTCCGGAGCAGGTGCCGGACTCCCCTTGTCCCGCGGAGCTTTGCGCCTGGGTCCAGCCGCAGGGCAAAATCCCCCCCACTTCTGCCCCGCAGAGTCCCCTGCTCTGAGCTGAGCTCTAGGCCCAGAGCTGATGGGCCCAGCAGCAGGGGCGTGGGACATCCCAGGGGGACCCCACGTTGGCACCCTGCAGACAGGGGCACAGCCCGTGGGGCCGGGTCCTCAGTGCCCCGGGAGGGCACAGCTGCAGATGGCAGCGACGGGGCCTTTTCACCCCCCGGCGAGAGCTCCCCCGTGGCTTCGACCACTGCTCTGATGGTAGCGGGGAGCCCCCTGCCTCGGTGCCCTCCATCCCCCTGGCAGCAGGAGATGATCTTAACCGCACCCTACGGGTTCTCCGACGCTGCCAGCGCTGCGCCCCTTGCGTCTCCCCCTGCCTTAGCCCTGTGGGTCAGGAGCTGCAGGCTTGCTAGCAGGGGCTGGGCTGGCAGTGCCCCCCCGGGGTGGCACTAGGGGGTAGGGGCCAGCCAGGGTGACTCAGCAGAGCCCCCTGCTTCACCCTAGCGCGACACGGCTGCTCCTGCTGAGCAATGCCCTGGCTACGCACCAGC